TACGTCCCTGGTTCTTCTCTTTCCCACAATACATGCCAACAGTTTCTTGATAAGAAAAATATAAGTCTTGGCAACTTCTCTTTGGAGCATCGAATGCAACCCTTCACAGATATTCTGGTTATATTCTCTAGCCAGGAGGGAGGGAACAGGAGTGAGGACAAACATGTACGCATGGCACACCCCATGATTGCTGAGGAATGTCTACGATTACTGACTTCAGCTGGTGTAACCAGAAGTGACATCACAAGGAATCTTCTGACAGACCTCTGCAGTGACCCAGTGCCATTGTACATGGTGAAAACCATCAAAAAAATACTCACAAAACGGGAAACAAAGTCAGAAAGTCAAGAAAAGTTTTCCAGACTGATCCAAATTATTGAAAATGCAGAAGGAAAAGTCATGTGTGCTTCAGTACTGAAAGCAGCCTCAAAGAAATTTAAGCAAGATCCATTTCTTCCACAAGCTCTTGCTCGTTTCTGTTACCTCAGGAAGAACGATTACCAAGGAGCTGAACATTGGGCTGTGATTGCAATAGAGAGAGATAAGGAGAACTCTTTCATTAGAGACACGCTTGGACAAGTCCGTAAAAACCACCTACTGAAAGTTGTGAATAATACACAACGTCCACCGAAAGCTCGAGAAATCTTGCTGATTGGAAAACAAGCGATTGAAGCTTTTCAAGAAGAGGCTAATACAGCCATAAAAGAGCTGGGACCAGAGATGAAAGACCATGGTGTGACAAGAATATCCAACTCCTTTAACAACAGGGGAATTTTTGGCTATATGCTGGTTGCACACACCATTTTCTTCCATATTACAAAACGTAACATAGGATGGTCCAAGGTTCTTACAAAGGAAGTATCCCCACAGACTTTCTTTACCTCTTGTCCAGGTGAAAAATGTGGAAAGTATTCTACTCTTCTTACTAGTCTCAGAGATGAAGTTGAGAAAAAGTTTGAGTTTTTTGAACAGTATCTTACTTACTCAAAGCCAAGCATTGACAAGGATGAGCCAAGTTACTTTCGGCCAAGTATCGAGGACTGCTACAACCAATATGTAACAGAAGGTAGGGAGACAAAAACATTGCTACAAACGCTCAAAGAAAGAAAGGTCAGCACATTTGCGGGACTGCTGAACGCTCCGGATTCAGACCTAGAACTGATCACAGAGCAGTTGAGAGAATTACATTTGTATTCACCGACTGATGCTGATGTTGTCCAAAAGTACATTCTTGCAAACATCATCTTGAGTCAAAGAAATGCCACATCTCCAGTGCTCAGGCCACTGGGAGAACTTCAGTCCATTCTAAAGGGATTCTGGGAAGAACAGAAAGACAAAAGAAGCCCAGAGTTCTACCTCTTGGTCCTTTTGCTGTTTTGGCCTGATGAGGAGCAGGTCAAAGAGAACTCCCCAGACATAGCCGAATGTGTGAAGTATATGCTTGTATCATTTGAGAGGATGTACCAAAATTACCTGCGCTCCCGCTTTCTGGTGCCGCTCTTTTTCCTCAGAGGAGGGCGAGGCCTCCAGAAACTTGTCCATACATCACGAATAGACAAAACCTGCACTGATCGTATTCACAAAGGAGATGAAAGCGCCGAAATCCCTGGTCTTCAACGTGTGCATGGACGGGTGCAAAGTTACAGGGTATTTTTTGTTAAAGGATTAAAGGAGATTGAGGTTTCTCCCCAACATCCAGCCAGCGTCCGTCGCCAAGGAGTGGTCTCTTTCTATCTTGGCTTCAACATCAAAGGACCTGTGGCTTACAATATAAGATATGAGCAGTAAATGTACAGTACTGTGCAGAAGTCAGAGTGTCCTTTAATTTATTTAAATTCCTAGTCAAGTACGTTGTTCATTTTACAGAAGATATTTGTGAAGAGAATAAATACAAAATAATGTTCTTGCATAAGAAAAAGGTAATCAAAGGAGAAAAACTGGAGCTCTAAAAAATTGCTATTAGGTGTGAAAAAAATCCCTGCAGATTTCTTTAGAAAAACTGAAAGCAAGTTTCCTGAAAAGAATGGAATCTATCATGAAGGAAGAGATTGGACACATTTAAATACTGAAAATTGTTGTTGTTGTTGCTGAGGCTGAAGATTAGGATTCGGTCTAGGTACAGGGATCAATGGAATACAACCCAACATAACCTCCAATTGGGACGCAGTTATAAGACATTCTAGACCTTTAGTATAATTACAAATACCAGTGTCAAGTTCAATCAGCTAAATAAAAAGCGACCTTCTTTTCAAGGCATGAGTTAAAATTTGATCTTGTTTCTTTCAAATGCTATTTGATTTCTTCATTCCTCATTTGCACAAAGCAAACACATTGACATGTCATACAGTGCAGATATGCTGGAGCAAATAGTGAGTTATTAATGAAGATCTTTAAGAAGTCCAATGATTGTTTGGCTGATAGCTTGACAAATCTGACCATGTGAAGAAGAAGGAAAGAATTGGTTTTGAGTGTTGTCTGTTTTTAAATATGAACTTCTCGGTGGTGTAATGTGGATTACTTCATTTACATGGAAAGTGTAAACGCAACTGAGTGAGAAATTTTATGTGCTGTTTAGTGACATATAAGTTGGATATTGAGATGAAAGTAGATAATATTACATACTGTGTTCTTTTCAATAAAGGACTATTCTAATGAGAATTGCCAAAAGTCATTTTTTGCTTGGAAATAAACTGACAACCGGAACCTGTGTGGCAGAATTATGAAAACTGTGTTGTTTTACGAACCTTCATTAACAACCCTGTAAAATTGAAACATCCCCTGAAAGCAGATCAGGAAGTTATTATTACTGTTCAGTCAGGACCAGTCTGTCAAAGAAAATATTTTATTTACATTTCCAGTAAAACATATCTGGTGGTATGGCTCTGTTCTGGAACTTCCCTTCCCTTCAGCATGCATACATGGAAAGCCTAAGGCAGGGAGAGCAGCAGAGAGACCCCAGTACAGAACAGAGCAGGCATCAATGGCAAAAACTTGACAATAGCTTGACATAGAGTAAGTCAGACACAGCATGAAGTTGGAGTTGGAGCGTCGAAGTGGTTTATGTTTTCATATATAATGTAATATATGTTATTACTTGACTCAGACTCGCAGTATCCAGGTCTTGGTCTTGACTCAAACTTGAATCTATAGTGATCTTGACTACAGTTCAAGTTGTGCTATCCTGCAGCTCCAAGGCCATGAACGAAGGCCGACTGTCATGTTAGCACCGAGCTAGTCTCTAAGTGAAGCAACAGAGATACAATTTATGTTCAAATGGGAGTAGAAGATGGTCGACTCCTTTAGTTTGAGGCATGTCAACACATTCCAAAGCTACAGAGTCTACGACATCACACAGCTCACACAGAGAGAGACAGCAGAGAAAGTTAACCATAGAACATCTTGTAACTATATTACAGTGGCAGATTGCCTGTAGCCAGGATAATAAGGGCAAACTTTATAACTTTGTTGCATTCCAAGAATGTTGCGCTGAAACAGTTTGAGCAGTGCATTGTAATATTTAAGGTATTGTTTATATTTTGTCTTTAAAGGGAAATACCACCTACTTCTACAATGGCTTTTACAAATATAGCCATTTTAGTTACCATCCAAAACCACCAGTGAACCTACACATGTTTTCTGGTTTTGTATATATGCAATGTTTGATGGTAAAATAGTGGAAAATCTAAAACTTTTTTGGGGGGGACTATTTTGCCTTAGAACATCCTTCATGCATCCCTCCACGATGAATAGATTAAATACGTTGATTAAAATACGTTTTACACCAAAACATTGACAAATACTGTAAAATCAATGTCTCAGACATCAGGCAGTGAATTCATAATCATTTCATTTAATATCTTTCTGTGAGGGAGCTTTTAGAGGTGGACGTCTGGTTCCTATCACCACCACTGTGAACAAATCTGACTCTAAGTTTCTCTATAACAGAGCATTTCACACCAAACCACTCTGAACGACCTTGTTCGCATGAAAACCATTTAAATATGTGGACCAAATTTGTGGGGAACCACTTAGTGTAGACATTACCATGACAATGAGCATCGCTTGAGTCCAGTCAGCGTGAGAGGGGCAGCAGTGTGTTACCTGTTTTTCAGTGTTTAGGTGGTGCTCTTGTGTTTCTAATTATTTTGAAATTACGGCAGACTCTGGAAAACACAGAAGTCTGGAGAGGCCATGAGGTAGTAAGAATTTTCTGGATTGGTATTTTGAGATCAAAATACAGGAGCCTAAATATCTTGTGATTATCTTGTGATCACGAGATAACAAAAGTTGTTATCTTGAGATCACAAGATAATTAAATTTTGATCTCAAGATAACAATGGAATTATTTGTGATCTCAAAATAAAGTTAACTTAGCTTAACTATCTTGTGATCTCAAGATAAAGTTATCTTGGGACATGGGAGTAAAGATTTTGAAACTGTGACAATGTTTACATACTACATCAAATTCTTTTATTTCAAATAAGCAAGAAAAGTTCAGTTGGCCATCATATGGGCTCTCTCACGTATTGCAGGGACAGCACGAGGCTCTTTTTTATGTATTTTTATCTCCCTCATAGATGTTAGAGTCATAACGAGTTTTATAAAACGAACACATTAGAGTTATAAAGTCTTCTTAATGGCTAAGAATAAAACTTACTGCATGAGAATTATTTTTTTGCATTACTGTGTAACAATTTCACCTCCCATCTTATTGTTTTAAAGTTCAAAAAGTGATCTGTTGCTCCAAGTAAAAAAAAAATGCATTATAATATTTGTTTTTCGACAAGAGGTCTTGTAAATTGTAATTATAAAGCCCAATAGGCTACTGCATAAATCACGCTGCACCTGCACCAATTACAAGCTTCTCCCCAGAGCCCCGCCCTCCTGCGTGTGGATTGGTCAGCAGGTCGTACTCACAAGACGTGCGCCAATCCTCGCGTACACAGCAGGATGACACTAGCCAATCAGAGCACAGGAGGTCACAGCTGCGTCATGGCGTTACGTGGCGACGCACCCCTCTCTCCTCCCGCTCATAAGCGCATTGTAAACAAAGTTAGCTTGTGGTGAAATTGAAGCTTGCGGCGGGATTTGAGGTGAACCGAGCTTCTGAGGGGAACCTGGTTTCTTATCTGAGGTGAGTTGACTGTGCTGTGTGACTGACATATCAGCTTAAGTGTCTAAATGGCTTAGAACCGGTTTCATTTTCCAGGAAACGCCAGCTAGAACATCGCTGTCATTAGTCCTGTCACTGTGTTGTCAGCGGTCAGTTCTCGCTTTTAACCTGCATAGCGCGGAGTAAAGCGGACCGTTTGGGGATGTTTTGGTATTTATTAGCTGTCCAAGACGCCTGTTTGTCGTTTTAGCTTGTATATTCCTTAGTAACACATAAAATAATGTCTGTTGTCGTTGACATTCAGTGAAGTTATGAGCGGAATTTGTCAGCAGGATTTCTCAAAGGCCGTGAACTGAGCTGTGTGTGAAGACTGTCCGGTAGGAATCGGGCAGCTCTTCTCCTGTTGGACAGGCTTGACCTTCAGCTGAACTTATGTGGGAAACAAACGAAGAAATCCTGTGTTTACATTAGCTTACGTCCAGTTAGTTTATCTCGACAAAGCCAGCTTGTTCGCCAGCTGTTTGTTGGAATTTTCCCGTTCCACCTTAAATGGTGCAGCAGGCACATTCTGGCGTCTCAGCCTCGAGCGTCTGAATGTACCTGCTGCCCCATTTAAGGTGGAACGGGAAAATTCCAACAAGAAGTTGGCGAATAGGACGCGAACTTTAGCCTCCTAGCTAATATCTCCATCTCCAGCCTGTGTGCGCTACTCGGTCTCTCAGTGAAACGCCAGTAAAGCCTCTTTAAGCCGGCGTCTGTGGAGGTTCACTGCTTTGGTTGTGTGTCCTTCTGTCCGGTACTGTCCCGGCCTTTCTGCGGGTCACTGTTCAGAGTTCACGGCCTTTCTGCGGGTCACTGTTCACTGTTCACTATTCACGGCCTTTCTGCGGGTCACTGTTCACTGTTCACTATTCACGGCCTTTCTGCGGGTCACTGTTCACTATTCACGGTCTTTCTGCTCATCACAGCAGAGCAGAGAGAGTTAGAAAACGCAAATCAGGTGACGGTTCGTCTCACTTTCGGTTCCCATCTGCAGCACTTCCACTGCATTATTAAGCTTAAAGGGAAAATCCACCGATTTTCCAAAATCTCTGCATAATATACATGTAAACAGTCATTCAGAGTGGTTTGGTGTGAAATGCTCCGTTCAAGAGAAACTTACAGACCAATAACTGTTCACAGTGGTGGTGATAGGAACCAGACGTCCACCTCTAAAAGCTCCTTCATAGGAAGTTATTACATGGAAAGGTTCTGAAGATGCTGCCTGATGTCCGAGACGTTGTTTTTACAGTATTTGTTTGTCAATGTTTTTTACCATTATCAAAAACATATAGAAATATCAGAACAGACGTGTAGGTTTACTGGTGGTTTTGAATAGTACATAAAATGACAGTTTTTGCGTTGTGTACGTTGTACCCCCTGGTTCCTATCACCACCCCTGTAAGTAAGCAAGCAAGCAAATAAATAAATAAGTTGTCAAGTTTTTCTACGAACAAATTATTTTGCATCAAACCACTCTGAATGACGTTATTTACATCTCAGTGACTGCATTAGACAGAAAATGTGAAAAGTTGGTGGAATTCCCCTTCTTCTATCTATCTATCTATCTATCTAGCTATCTATCTATCTATCTCTCTATCTCTGTCTATCTGTCTATTTACTTACTTGCTGTCTGTTTTCATGCATCAGTAGGGCATTTTTGTAAAGTTATGTTTTAATTTTGAAGCACCCACACAGGGTTGACTTACTTTTAACATAAATTTATATGTTTGTTCCTTATTTATTTTGTGTTTTTGTATTTATTTTTTGGTTTTAGAACAATATAACATGAGAATATAATATATGATCATGCAATAATTAGGGATTCTAGGATTTTTATGAGCAGTATTGCGATTCCAATTAAAATGTGATCTATAAATTAAGCTCCAGGTATTTTCATCAGGAAGACTAACACATCACATCTCTCAGACTTCAGGCGTGAAAGCTGAATGTAGCGTACCAGACTGCCAGATCACAAGCTTTGTGTTATTTGGTTACATTTCAAATTCAAGTTTGAAGACCTTGTTGAATGAAGTACGTTAATTAAAATTGTACTTCTTGTGATTTGAAAATACTCTTTCAAATCGTGACTTCAGTAAGTAAACAATAAAAACACGGAGCTTGCAACAAAAACCAGTGTATGTGACAATTTTTGTAAAAATCATTTAAGCATGGTGTGCCATTATTTGAAGCCCTTTATTTAAAATGAAGGGGTCACTAAAATGTAAGTAAAGCATAGTTTGGCTTTTTAATGTAAACTTTTCTACAAAATAAAATAGAAAACAAAATAACTGATAATAATGGTTACTATATGTTTTGGAGTGGCTTAAATATTATTCCAGCCCAGGTAATAAAGGTAGAAATAAATAATAATAATAATAATAATAATAGGGTCTGTTTTCTATTTACCCCCGATGTTGTACTTTAGCCGAGACATTTGAATCCAAATTTTGCTTCTTTAGAACAGGAGCAGTGACAACTCCATAGTCAGCCAAATCATTTCTATAAACATATGTCACCAAACCTTCTTCCAGCCCGCTCAAACCACGTCCAGGTCTTGTTTAAGGCCAAAAAACTTGTCAAGGTAGTTTAGGACACAGTATGACTGACTGGGAACTATAAAAATTCACCAATGCGGGCGAGTCATTTCAGACATTGCCAGGGCTGATATTCACAGTGATTACCTCAGGAGTTGGAGTGCTGATCTAGATTCTGGATTTATGGCAGTGACCATCATAAATATGAAGCAGTCTGATCTAAGAGCAGATCTGCTTTGCGAATAGCAGCTCTGTTGTTGTCTGAAAAAGTCAATACTTAACCACAATAGCAAGTCTGCTTGACCTTAATGAAGAGCTGGATGTGGTGTGAGCAGGTTGAGAGAAGTTTTGGGGGTGTATTTTTACAGAAATGATTTGGGCTATTTGGGTGACTATTGAGTTCTAGTGTTTGTTAGCAACATTATCCTCATAACTCCAATTCTAGACTAAAGAAAAGAAGCAAAATTTGACTCCAGACTAGTGATGCCGAGTTGATTCCTCGACTCCAACACTTCTGGAGTAAGGGTTAAATTTTGGCCAGTGACTCTTAGGCCCAAAGCCATTTTTTATTTTTACCTCTACCTCTTGTTTTCGAGTGTCACTTTGCCCCTTGGAACTGAGTTACAAGAGGTAGTTGTTGAAATCTTTCTCCATGAAATGTGAGCCTCAAATAAAGAAGAGCATCACTTCATTAACAGTTACTAGCGCTGCTCTGTAGGCGACCCTGCCAGTCTGCAGTGACAGCAGAGGAGGTTAAAGTTCAGCTCCTCACTGCTGGGCTTTAGTTACATTTAGGGAGTCATATGCCTTCAAAGAGGGACAATTATTTATTATTGCCCACCTCTAATTCTTCAGTGATATGAAGCTGAAATCAGTCATCGCCAGCTTCTCGTATTTTCCTGTTCCACCAACCAAAAAAAAAAAAAAAATAGTGCCAGGTTAATCATCCTTCTGCTTTGCTGTGACTGAATCTGTGTTGATGCCATTTGGGAAGCTAAACTTGGGGATCTCTCATCTGATTACAGAGTCGAGAGAGGAGCTCGTGCTTTGACGTTGACGCTCAAAGCCTTTTCTCACTGCTGCCAGCATGGCCACAGCTGTGGAGGACACCAGTGTGCTGGAGGAGGAGCTGACGTGCCCTGTCTGTCTGGACCTGTACCGTGACCCCCGGCTCCTGCCATGCGGCCACAACTTCTGCCTGCCGTGCCTGCGGAAGCTGAAGGGGCGCTCGGAGCGAGGGCGTCTGCGCTGTCCAGAGTGCCGGCAGAGCCACAGGTGCTCGGCGCCGTGGCAGAAGAACTTCAAGCTCGCCAATATTGCTGATGGTTTCCGGCGCCGCAGTCGGGCCGAACGCCCTGTATCCGGCAGGCAGAGCCCCACCCACAGGACTGAGGGGGTGCGCTGTGATTACTGTCCCCCAGAGCCTATGGATACGAGCAAAGGGTCTGCAGCGGTGAAGACGTGTCTGAAGTGTGAGGTGTCTATGTGTCCGGAGCACGTGCAGCCCCACCTGGAGCTCCCAGCTTTCCGGGAGCACCCGCTGGTGGAGCCACTGCGTGATATGAGACAGAGGAAGTGCGCAGAGCATGACGAGATGTTCCGTTATTATTGCGTGGATGAACGCACGTTTCTCTGTAACGCGTGCACCATAGAGGGAGGCCACAGTGGACACAGCATCAAAACACTCAAGAACACCATGAGGGATATGAGGGTAGGACACGTCACACACAGTAGCCACGTTTACATGCAGCTAATAATCAGACTAATAGCTCAATCGGTATAGAACGGACGTACCATGTAAACACCTCAATCAGAATAGATTATTGCAATTGAGGCCATTTGGAATAGAATTTCTGTCTGATTTAATGAGGTGGGTAATCCTGTAACTAATCTGTTAAATAGAAGAATAATAACCGTGTGAACATCTGTATCTGATTACATTCCCAATCGGAAAGTTGAAGTCTGTTCTGATCATGTGCGTCATATCATAGTGAAAGTTTATACCGTTCAACATGGCGGAGCAGAAACTGGTCTGCAGAGGAGACGAAGTTTATGCTCTGATCTTTAAAAGACGGCGGTGGGACGGACGTCCAGCTTATGTGTCTCAGAATACGACGTCTTCCTCTCACCTTCTTCAATAAGGACATGTGAAGGACGTTTTCCTGAGTCTGACGTCATTTTAAAGTAATTAAAAACACAAGCGCTGCTCACTGCTGCTCATCTCACTCTGACTGGACTCTCGTGATGCTTGTTGTCATGGTAACGTCTACACTGAGTGGTTCTCTACACATGCGCATAATTTTGGATCTGATTACTTGTAGTGAGCATGTAAACATCTCCAGTGACTACATGTGGTCAGATTTCGGGAGGGATACGTCTCGTGGTAGACAGTTGTCATGTGAGCAGAATAATAGAAACATTCATCGTATATACCTGGTAATACATTGTATTTACAGTGAACAAACATGCTACAGTACCAAAAACAGTCAGGTGTTGCTTTGAAAAAGGAAATATTTATTAAAAACTTTGCTGTTTTGGTGACCGTGATGATTTGGTCCGCCCTAATGTCATCCAGTTTAGGTCATGTCAGTCCTTATCTACTGCAGGAACAGCCTTGTTTAACATCTTTAATTTAAGCATCTGTGACACCAGTTTGGTGGACCATCACATTACCAGTCGCAGTGGGCACTGTTAATGAAAATGGAATTTGATTTGATTAGTTCTGTCTGTCCAGACACATTTGTTATTGTAACTTACAAACAAACAGGAGAGCAGACAGTAGACTCAACAGCTGCTTTTGTTTCTGCTGTGGTGACTCTGATTAAGATGATCCTTCATCGCTGTTGCAGATACATCAGTATTCACATTACAAATAAAAAGTGGACATATGCAAAGGTTTGGGCACGCTGGGTAAATTCCATTTTTTAGTAGATTTTCTAAGTGAAAATAAAGCACTCAACAGAGAACACACTTCTACACATTTTAACACTCAATTTCTATTTATTTGCTAATAAATAATAAAACATAAGAATGTGGCCTGCGCCACAAATAAATAGAATTGTGCAGTAAAATTGTAGAAAAATGCCATATTCAGAGTTGTTCCCTGTTGAGCATTTGTTGAACTACTATAAACACTCACCTGTAAAAACACTAAACAGTAACCTGTTCCTTCACTGTCATGTGGACTGATGAGCTCTGGAACACAGGAGAAAAGCAGAGCAGTTTCTGTGCATTTCGCTTTGTGTATGAATGGATCCATTGTGAGAGAGAATAAGGACGGGCGATTTGTGTTTCACAGGAAAGTGTTTCACAGGTACTGCTCTGTTTTGGTATTTTTTGGTTTTTTTTCCCACTGAAGTCTCACATACATATTTTGTCTGACACCTGAACGTACGGCTTACAGTCATATGCAAAAGTTACGTTTTGTTAGTTTTCTATGGAACAAAACTCAGCAAATAAATAGAAACTGTGAAACAAAATGAGCAGGAATGTGCAGTTTATGAGTTTCTTCTCTGTAGAGGATGTTCACTTATTTTCACTTAGAAAATCAAAACGTGATTTGAATAAGGGGGTCCAAACCTTTGAATATCACCATTTGTTCTATTGGCATCATCAGGAAATGATCTATGTGTTTCCAACTAGCAGCGAGTGGTTTGTTGGTAAACTTGTTGAAATTCTTCCTCCAATATGAGTTTTGTCTTTTTTCCAGAATACCTCAAATAAGCAAAGATAATGCAACGTACAGGCAGCATAAACCATGCAAACGTTGTCCCCTTTAGCTGAGTGGCTGAGTCAGGGATGTTTTGGTCACGTTTCAAACCAAAATGACAGTGAAGCAGATCTTCGATCACCTCCTACTTTTTAGTCTATTGCAGTTGAAGCAGTCTACTTTGTTTCCGAGGAAGCAGACTTAAAAGAATGGCTGGTCTTTTGTCAGTCCTAACCTGACATGGCCACCAGAGCAAAAGCCATGCTTCTGTTTCCTCTTGTACTGGCTGAGGAGCTGCTTGACTCAGTCCAGGGTTTTTATAGTTAAGTAAAATATTTTACAAAAAAGAAAACAGTGAAAAAATATGCTCATTAACCGAAATAAAAACAAAAACATTTTTCAAAAACATTGAAACTAAATCAAAAGTATAATGTTCAATGCAGGACTAACTAAAATGAAATAGAACTGCTGAGGAACAACTCATGAATGTTGGGTTGATTTTTACTCAACACTTAATAAATTACCTACTATCACAGTGTTTATTATAATACTAAAACTAAAACAGAATCTAAATAACAGCAAAACTAAGATGAAAAACTAAATTAAAGTAACTAATGAAAACTTAAACATAAAGAGAACCCTGGTGGCATCGTATGACTCCACAGATGGAGTTTTGTGCACAAAGAACTATTCTGCACAGTAGAAATATTTCAGATTAACCTTGAATTTTATTATTTATTATGTGAGAATGAGCTGCTTTGCTCTTATTCACATTGTGTCTCTCTGCAGGCCTCTCTGGACCTGGAGCTGCAGAAGGCAGACCGGAAGATCAGAAGAGTTGAGAGAAACTTGCAGGACCAAACTGAGGTGGAGCGTCAGAACAAGGTACACACATGACATCTAAGTCTGTCTCTCTGTATCTCACACATGTACACACCAGGCCTGTTATTACAGGAGGGCATAGAGGAGCCGCTCCCCCTCAGCTTTGTCGTGTGACTATAAGCTTTGGTATAGAATCATATTGTAGTGACAGTCATGTGTAACAGATGGAATAGTTCACAACCAAAAACCCAGCAAATCGAATGTTATGGTTTGAAATGTTAATAATTTCTAAAGTGCTTCACTGCTCTGGGTTATAAACTGCTTTGTCCACCATTTTTGGGTTTCAAATAAGCCATTGATAAATTCTGAAAATTATGAAACTGTGATAATACGCTCTTAAAAAAGATGGTTCTTTAAGGGTTCTTTAGTAAAGAAAATGTTTCTATAAGGAACCATGAACACTCAAAGAACCCTATGCATGATTAAAGGGTTCTTTGCATCATGAAAGTGTTCTTCAGATTGTTGGAGAATGTGCTATAGATGGTCCTATATAGAACCTTTTTGAAAAGTGATCTATATATTCTTCTATTGTTACAAGGTTTGCAACTCTTTTTGGTGGTATATGCAACCCTTTTCAAAAAGCCATCTATGGCACATTCTGAAGAACCTTTTCATGATGCAAAGAACCCTTTAATCATGCAAAGGGTTCTTTGTTCATGGTTCTTTATTGAACCATTTTCTTTACTATCTTAAGAGTGTAGCTAAATTCCAGAGTTACTCCACTACAGTTACAGAAACGCTTCTAGGCCTTGTTAATTTTTTTTTATTTTATTTATTTATTTTTAAATATGTAAAGTAGGTGGGCAACGTTTTGGAAGTCACTTGCAGTCTGAAGTTTCTCCAGCAGGGAGCGCTATTAGTACACAAGTCGCCATGAACCCACAACAAAATTAGCTCACGAATGCACTCAGTAACATCTATTAACACAACAGGGGAGGTATACTCTTAAAAAAAAAATGGTTCTTCAGTGGTGCTTTAGTAAAGACAGTGGTTCTGTGTAGAACCATGAACACTCAAAGAACTCTTTGCATGCTCAAATGGTTCTTTGCATGGTGAAATGGTTATTCAGATTGATAGAGAATGTGCTTTATACGGTTCTACAGAAATTCTTCTATATAGCACCAAAAAGTGTTCTTTTAAATGATATAATATCAAGCTTGTAAGAATAAAGGAACCATTTTTGGTGCTGCATAGAACCATTTTCAAAAAGATTCTATATACACATATACAACACATTCTCCATCAATCTGAAGAACGATTTTACCATGCCGAGAACCGTTTAGGCATGCAAAGCGTTCTTTTAGTGTTTATGGTTCTATATAGAACCACTGTCTTTACTAAAAAACCCTTATCACCCAGGACTAGTTTTGGACTATTGTGTAAAATTAACTAGAAAATATTGTGCTAATTATTGTCCAATATCACCCAGGACTAATGCTTACATGCCCAGTTATGATTTGCCTCTCAGGGACTAAAAAAGTTGATTCATTTTAAACTGAGTTTTATTTGCCCCCCTTACTGGACCTGTTATACACCCTCTTTGTTGCCTTAGGCCTTCATGGAGGAGGCTGAGCGGCGGGTGGACACCTTAAGAGGCACCCTGAGGACCCGGCTGGAAGGTTTTCTGTCATCACTGTGCGAGAGTTTGCACACCCACGAGGCAGAACACAGCCTCAGCGTCCAGCAGAACCTAACTCGTATAGCTGAGGACCGCAGCCGCCTAGCAGACGTCCACACAGGCGTCGAGCGGCTGCTACAGGAGCATGACCCCTTCCAGTTCATCAAGGTCAGTGACTCTACAGGGGTCCACATCTGTAATGCCCTACAAAGGCAAAGAACTGTGACTACACAAACAGTGAAACTGAGGAAAACCGCTGTTCAGTTCTGTTGTTGTGCTGCTGAGAATATATGTAGATGTGTAAATTAACTGATATTGGCTCAAATGTTCAATATTAGAGGAGACTGGGGCGGGGGGGCTCTCCAAACAGAAACAAGCTAGAGTGATGAGACTTAGGCCCAGTCCCATTTCACCCCTCGCCCCTACCCCTCCGTTTTGTGCGTTCACGCCTAGGAGTAGGGTGTCCCAATTTTTTTTGAGAGAGAGGGGTAGGTGAAGTGAAGGTTTTAGAGACTCGCTCCAAAAAGAGTGTTATGAGAAAAAGAAAAATACCAGCAACATGGCTGCGCAAGTGACCAAAGAAACACACAAATTAGATTTTTTCCATTAAAAAATTACAGTGACCATTGTCTTATCTTAGTTTAATGTCATTTCAACATATTACAGTCCTTTTCTTCATAACAAGCATAAACAGTCGCTAGTATGTTGTTGTCTCGGTAGCTAGCTAAATTTTCCATTCCACTTTAAGTTCTGACACCTGAAGCACCAGAATGTACCTGCTGCTCCCTTTAAGGTGGAACAGGAAAATTTGATCAAAAAGCTAGCAAAGTGCTGACCTCTGTGGTGCAGTGGGGTACTGTCACCACCCCCCCAAACAGTTGCCAGTACAGCGTTCTGATTTCCTGTATTCATTTTAGTTTTACAGTACTGTACATTGTGCTCATATACGTTTGCATATCCAAAGATAAAGGTAGGGGTAGAGTTCATGTCTGTATTTACAAACCTGGAAAACGTTTAGCAGAACTTTGAAGCTGCTTTTCAAGTTTCACTGTTTATGAATTAACAGTTCTCTTCCTTTGCTGGTCAGTTGGTCAGATGCATAATTACATACTACCAGCATAATCTCACTGAATTAGTCCATGGTAAGAAAATCCATGGTGAGAAAGTCTGTCTGTGTATGTTGGCTGTGGTTAATGTAAAATTCCAGATACAAATTTAGCTTTAAAATCCCCTAAAATTGCAAAGCTTTCAATGTCCGTCATTCACTGACACTAAACGTTCTCTTTTACAGGAGTACAGTTCATGTGCCAAAAGGTAAGTTTGAATCATTCGGTCACACGTAAATATTTTCAGAATATGGAGACGGTCTATGTGAGTTATGGTGTGTATGGATGTGTTTTAGGTACCGCCGGCTTCTGAGAAGGCCTCTGTTTCTGGCGCACAGCATGCCGATTGATATGGACTCTCTGGGGGCGATGATGGAAGGCAGAATGGAGGAGTTTATGACGGACATGCGGCAACAGATCATCTCACTCATCGACACTCTGTGTGAGTTAAGTAGACTAGTAGACTAGTTTTTATTTTTATCTCTCAAACCTTAAACCCACACTAGTTTCTCACTCACAACTAATCAAAATAAGAGAACAAACCATTTTTTTCCTGTGTCTGTAACTCTTTCTGTAAAAAGTAAGGCCTGAAGGCTTTGTCTCCCCCTTCTGGTGCAAATGGGAACTGACTCACATAAATAATGGAAATATTAGTGACGCAACAAAATGGTTTTTTTTTTGCTGAAACTGAAATTAAGGACATTTCATTCATTTCAAAAACTGGCTACAGATCGTGTTAGCATGCTAGCAGGGACTTCACTGCCTCTGTTATTTTGCTGTATTCTGCATATCAAGAGGATCACCAGGTTTTCATGTTGTATCAAACAGAGGTGGGCGATATGGCAAAAATATAATATTGTGATACTTCAAGAAATCTTCACCATACACGATACGTAATGATTAGTTGGAACCAGGAAAAAGGAACCAGTAGTGCTACATTTTAAAAAATACTATAGAAAAACTATGAACTGAAGAAATCCATATTGTATTGTTACATAATTTATCACAATAACGAAATATAGTCATATTTCCCGGCCCTACATCAAACCTGTAGTGGAGAAGTTCTTTAGTGTTGTTCCCTCGTCTTGATACTTAAACAGTGATTTATAAAGTGTTTGTGTGGAACTATTTCACAGTTTCTATGAGGGATAAGAGACAGTCATGCGGTAGTTTCGCTCGGCTGCTGCTCAAACTGTTTGAACACATCTGCGTAGAACAACAAAGGAAACTAACAGCGTTCTCTTTTTCTTTAGCATTAAAATTTTCTTTAGCATTAAAATTATTTGTAAATTGATGGTTTTTGTCTTTTGAATGCAAATTTAAATCAGAATTTTTGACCATTTTTGGCAACAAAAAATCAGTACCTCAAATTTCGATAAATTGGGGTTGAAATATTGATTTTATTAACGATCAATTTTGTCCCGATTTATTGATTTTTCAAAATTTCTTGTGGTGCCTGCTGTAACAATTATTAATTATTTTACAGAAATGACTGAAAAAGTCTATTATTCTTCTTACCTGATTAATATTTAGTCTTAATTTTTACAGTTTATAAGCTTTAACAATATTAATCCTAGGGTTTAAAGGGTTAAGTCAGCAAAACAAATCTGTACGCGTGTGTCTCTCAGGTACTGGTGACGACGGAGACGAGGGAGTGGAAGACGAAGATGAAAGTGAAGAGAGTGACGAAAACGAGGATGACGGCAGTGAGGAGGATGGGGAGGAAGAGGAGGAGATGAGGAGTGAAGAGGAGGAAGAGCAGGACCACAGCGAGTCTACTGATGAAGACTATACCCCTGAGGAGGACGAGGAGGAGGAGGATCAGTAATACGAGTGTCCTGCACTCGTAAGCACTTTTCTGCAATGTTGTAATTCAGAACAGCTGCTGAACGTCACGCAGCTCAACCTCTGCTTTGTTCTTTAATGCGCTTGTTTACTAAAATACTCTGTATGTAAAATTCTATATTAAATCACACCACTTTAAAGACGTATCTAAGCATGTACTTCCCAGTCTGGCCAGTAGGGAAGCCTGCAGTGAACTCTTAAGTAACTTCAGTCTGGCGTTGCTGTTTAGAGTTCGCGTGTGAATGAGAGTGTGTTCATATATGCATGTATGTAGACTCACACATGCACAAGCTTGAAGATTTAAAAAAAAGTTATATTTTTGTTATTATGCTGCAATTAACAACAGTTTGGTGTAGAACTGCTTTAAGGGATTAAATGCTGTGGACCAGTTTCCCAGACCTAGATCAAGCCTAAGGAATTTTCAGTGGTTCTTCACCATCGGCACTGCTATTTAGTCCAAGACTAGGCTTAATCTGTGTCAGGAAACTGGCCCCTTTGGGAATTATACTACAGTGCTGTGCTGTCCGACTCAACTGCCCACTTTTTTGGTAACAGTGCTACTGAAGAATAGCTCTGTTTTCTAACCAAAGCAATGAATGTAACTACTGAATAATGTTTACACTCACTGAATGTGAGCTGCACCGTTTAGAACTGAATTTCTCAGTCAGTGGGGTTTCTTTTTAGTCTGAAACTGGACTTAATGTTGTGAAATACATGAACAGAAGTGTTTCATATCTGACTGGTTAGTATCTCAGGGTGCGAGAGACATTTATATCAAAAATATATTTGCACTGGATTTTTTTTTACCAGTTATAATTTTGTTTAATGATAATGTTAACTATTTTTATAGTGTACTTGGAAAAAAGAATTAAATAAAAGTGCTCTGTCTTGTCAGAGAGTAATCTGTGTTCTTTATAACGGCTTTATTGCTTTAGTTTCAGCAAAAGTGGCAAATGGTAATTCAACACATCAAGTCTGTTCTGTCCATTTATGAACCTCACAGCGATGCGCTTCACTCCACATTTGTCGTTTTTCACATTTTGACACAATTTAAAGTCACAAACTGCCCTACATTATTTCAAAGTTTTGTGATGAATGGACCTGTAGAAATGATCCAAAACTACTTAGAATAAATCATTTCTCCATTAACTTCCATTAAAAATAAGACAGTTTTTCCTTCTCCTGTTTGAAGATATGAGGTTTCATTCTCACAGTGACGATGTACAGCAGTGGTTCTTAACTCGGCCCACATTTTTCCTTCACCCCTATGAGTTGCGAGTTAGGTTGAAGCAAAAATGTGGACTGCCTGGGGGTCCCTGAGATCCAGGCTGTTATACAGTATTACAGACAGGGAGAACTCCATCAGTGTGACAGACGGGAATGTGGTTCAGAAATGTTAATGTGTGTTTTGTGTCTGTTGCATTACCTCAGTGGTGTACTGTGAACCATAACCAGGCCCTTTCACCTGATTTACACACAGATCCAGACCACCCTGAAATCAAAATATTAAAACATTATGTTTATACAATGGCATATAATTAAACCTAATTGATAAAAATAAATCTGAGAAAAATAGAAATAAAAACACATTAAAAGAGCTGGGAGTGGCTGAATATTCCATGATAACCTAGCACGAGAGACTGAGGGAATATAGTTCTGTTAAAGTGATGAGGGTGATGTATAAAGGACTGTGTAAAAGTTTAATTCTAAGGACTAAAGACAGTTTGGGAAATGCATTATGAATTATTTTGGCAGCTGTATATGAACAATATTGTTCGACATCAATAAAGCTGCAGTTTGCTGTCCAGTTTTTCTCTGCTTGGCCGTCTTTGTGGATTTTCACAGCAGGAGGTTCGAGCCCTTTCACGCCTCATTGCTGACTAGCAGCTCAACGTTTCACGTACAGAGAGCCAACAGTGTCCTAGTTAATCTGATAGAGGAGCAAAATATTTTATTAGATATAAATTCAGAATACGAGAGTTGATCTCCATTCTGCTGGCAGAATGGCCACCAAACACCATAAAGGTTGGACACAAGGATCATACACCATTGCAAATAAAATAACGTCTGTAAAAAAAACACACAAACCTGATCCAAACACACTCCATCAATGAAATCACAAATTCACTAATTAACGTAACGGTGCAAGAGTTGGTGGAAGTGGAGACAGGAATAAGAGTGATATGATCTCACAAACTACATATCCAAAGCAACATATCAGAGCAAGGAAACACTTTGCTTTTTGGGCTTTAGGAATAATGCAGAATGACTCATCAGTGATGGTCACTGCTTGAAAAGAAAAGATGCACAACGATCTTTCATCTGGGCAAACCTGTCAAAAACTCTTCTCTCAAAGTCCACAAATCCATTAATGAATTCGAGTGATAGCATAGCAAGGGCAGGCATGGAAAGCAGAGGAGTGTTTTAGCTACACTCACAGTTAGCCATGTTTTTCTCTTTAACCTCTCTGGATTATACTGAATTACCGATCATGTCGTGCACTGCTCCACAGCGACATCTGCCGGGGCCAGGCCCTATCGGCCCCTAATGTTGAGACCACACACACATGCATCTGCAGCACTGATGACTATGTAAGGTCCAGAAACCTGACTGTGGAAACTGGGTGGAACATGTAGCTCAACACTGGAGTGAAATCACACTCCAGGCTTCACTGGTGTCTCAAAACAGGAGCTTCACATTTCAGTAGGTGGTCAGTAATCAGAGGGGTGGGAAACTGAGGGCTGGAGTCCAGCACAGGTTGGTGGTTTCACTGCTACAACAAACCAGCTAAACCTGGTCAGTAACTGCTGAGGACAATCAGATGTGTTTTTGCAGCAAAATGGTATGTATGCTGGACTAAGAGCTCCAGGACTGGAGTTCCTCACTATCACAGCAAACAGGGCCATTTCTAGCTATGAGCGGTAGAAGCCATCAATTTTAACTACAGTTATGATATTTTGTTTTATATTATTTGAGTCAGTCACAACATAAACAGAAAGCCATCAATACAAAACAAGAGACACTGCATGCAAAAATCAATAATGCAGAAATGATGCACACAACATAAACAGATGCTGTGGTTTATTAGTCTGTTTATTTCATTTTAGTGTGGAACTGTACTTACTGATGAGCGATTAGTACAGTTTCAAACTTCAATATTCATATACTACATCAAATTCTTATGTGCCAAGATTATGGGATGTGATTCACATGATATTCAAAGCCTCATGTTGTAGATGATATTCAAAGCTTCATGTTTATGGCAGTTTATAAGCTCTTACCATAAACGTGAAGAGTAGTCACAAAATGATTATAGCTTAGAAGTAAATAGCAACATAAAAAGTTTGTTGTTTTTAGTTTTTTTTAGTATGTAAAGAAAGTTTTTTTTTGTTTTCAGAAAACAGATTTTCTGACTGAAATGGTTTTATATTTTAAAATATCAGCAATACCTGGGCTGTAATTAGTGTGGTGCCTTGAAAGCATTTACCATCAATGTAAAGACCAGTACTAAACTACATAAACACTGCAAACTAAAACAAAACATCAAAAAAAACCTTTCTTTTAACATGCAGTCTTTTAAGATTCTGCCTAAAAAAAAATTTCTAACAGGAATTTTTGATTATTAAACAAGCAAAACATTACATGAAATGATGTAAACATAACACCAAGAGCAAAATCAGCTTGATAGCTCAAACTTAGCTTGGTGGACTAGACTTCTTGTTCATGGTAACTCAGTAAATTAGCGTATTAGCATATTACCATGTTAAAAAATCACCACAAGTTACCATCAATTTGAGTGCAAGTGCTGAAATAGTGGCTGTATTGAAGAAAACTAAAAAATAAATTTGGGCCCGCCCAGTTTGCCCTGGTCTCTTCCCGGTGAGGTGGGGTTTGGTGCTGTCCAAATTTTCAGGCTTGAAAATTTGGGTGAACATGCCTCTGGGCCCCCTTAAGCCCTGCCCCCTTTGGGTGGGGCCAGAGAGGAGCTCATCTGCAGGCATGCCTGACCCTACCTGGGGGCAGGGGCAAGTGGGCTGGTCCAAATTTACCGTGCCTCATTCTCCGCCCACTGTGGGTGAGGCTAGAGAGCATCACGTGTGCTCTTGGCCTCAGAGAGAATGAGACGCTCCCTTGCCCTAGAGGGAGCGGCGTGGCGAAGGACGTCACGGCCTCCCTGGGGCCTGCGGGGAGCGGCGTGGCGGAGGACGTCACGGCCTCCCTCTGGCCTGGGGGGGGGGGACTTGTTCTCTGAAGCAGCAGAAGAACCAGGAACTTTTCAGGATGGAATGAAGATCCAGAAGCTCAAATCCAGCCCAGAACCCAGATGAAGTGAGTTTGGCTTAGCGTACACAGCCCTCAGGTGGAGCTCTGACTGTGGATCAGTTCTAGTTTGGAAGACTGAACAACAGCGCCTTTTGGCATGCATCCCCGCATCCTCAGAACATTCTACACATGTACTGTGGAGGGCATTCTAACAGGCTCCATCACCTCCTGGTACGGGAACTGCACCGCCATCGAGCGGAAAGCTCTGCGGAGGGTGGTGCGGACAGCCCGGCGCATCACCGGGGTCCAGCTCCCAAACCTCCTGGATTTATACACCAGCCGCTGCCTGAGGAAGACCAGGAGGACTCCACCCACCCAAGCCACTGTCTGTTCTCACAGCTGCCGAGCAGGAGGAGGCGCAGAAGCATAAAGTCCAGAACCGTCCGGTCCCGAGCCGGTTTTTTCCCCGGGCCATCCGGCCGCCGAACGGCCAGTGGCGCCGGCGTATCGGCCTATAGGCCTGTCGCCGCACCTCCGAGTCGTCGTCGCGATGATCTCCGTGGACAATCCACAGCTCATCCACACACGGCTTTTCTATACCGTATTCCGTACTTGCGTTTACCTAGGCTCATTTTTCTGAAATAAAACTTGTGGTTTGACTGGTTTCCAACAGAGAGCACACGTCTAGATCCCGTTAGAAAACCATGGGATGCATTTGCAATCAGCCACCTGTTAAAGCGTTAGGAACACCTCGGTTCAGCACAGACTACCAGCACACATTTCTCAAACTTGGTTTTCATCTGCTTTGAGTCATGAGAAGATGCATTTTTTGTGTGTGTCTTGGAATCTTCAAGACAAACCCCCCAAAAAAAAGGCTGCTGTGTGTGAAGCTTGGTGGCTTAGTGGGAAAAAGCCTTGGCCTCAGATGTGGGAGGTTGTGGGTTCAAGCTGAGGAGGAGGGGGAGGGAAAAGAGAGAGAGAGAGAGAGAGAGAGAGAGAGAGAGAGAGAGAGAAAGAAAGAAAAGGCAAGCAGGTGAATCAAATGGGCAATGTTTTAGTTAGCTTGCGAAGTAAAATGAGGGTCCAAGTAGGTGGAATTTTTGCATACCCAAAGGGTTAAGTGCAACTTTTTTTTCCAGCAAAATTCTGCATAACCCCCTCTTGTCCTCTCTCCTGGGCCCCAGGGGGGGAGACGGGTATACCTTCCCCCCTGGTTCTTGGGTTGTGCCCTCCGGCCTTCCTCGCATGTCATGCATCATGCACCCTTCACCCTGTGTGTGTGTGTTTCACCACCACCGTGATGTGAGGATCCTGCTCGGGATATGAACCGATGACCTCCAGACTGTAGAGGCAGGGCATCTACCAGTGAGCCACAGGATCTCACAAACGTCCTCCTTTTTTTTTAACATTTGTCTTTGTTTTTGCCATCTTTACTGATGAAGACATGCAAATGAAGGCCCTAAAGTGGGGCTTGAACCAACAACCCTCTGGTTGAAGAAACATGATTTATACCAGCAAGCCACATGGCCTGCAGGGAGCTGTCTTTTTTTTTAACATTTGTCTTTGTTTTTGCCATCTGTACTGATGAAGACATGCAAAAGTAAGGCTTGAACCAACAACCTTCTGGTTGTAGAA